TATAGTTCACTACTTCGTGTGTAATTTATGTACCTGTTATCACTTAAGCACGCAATCAAACGAACCGTTCGATCGGAATAAAAAGGAACGAAAAGGAAAAAAAAAAAAATTAACGATCAACATTTGATGAAAAAGAAAAAAAAAAAGAAAAAAAAAGTCTCACGTTCTTATAAGCCATAGGTGAAAAACTCGCTAAGAGAAGTGGAAGAGGAGGAAAACGAAACGTCCCTTTTTTATAACTTTGCATCGAACTCAACGAACCACGCTGGCGAATTCTTTCTCCTCGGGCGCGAACAGAAAAATTTTAGCCCGTGTCTATGTTCGCTACGTGTTTCTTCTCTGTTTCTATAACTGTGTGCTTTTAGCGCGATACGTTTCGAACACATTTTTACGTGATGCAATTACACAACATAAATACATATATATATATAGACACACACACACATACACACAAAACATAAACACAACACAAATAACGGAAACGTGTAACGTACTGGATTTTTATTCGAACCTTACTCGTAGAACACGTATTTAAAAAACAGTCTAATTGTACGATAAAAATTTAGAAAGCAACAAGAATTACATAGCGCGCAAAAGTAATGACACATTGTATACACGTACATACAGTTAGTAATATGTGTATTCTTCGAGTGTAAGTTTCTCGTAGTTTTTTAATCGTGTTAGTTATTAAAGTTAACTATCTGTCCTAAGTAATTGACCAAAACGGACTAAAACTTTATCCTCTTAGAAAGTTACGGTAAAGCGACTGAGCGATTCGATTATATTTTCATCGAGATTCGATGTGTTTGAAACAAGTACTCGCAAAAGATCTCTCCTGATCGACCTGAATCTTTCTTAGAATCCAGAATTTTGCGTTTACTACCGCTAATTTCTAAAAAAAAAAAAAAGAAAAAAAAAACAAAATGAGAATTTAGTGACTTTTCCAATTGAACTGTGTAGAACTTCAGTCTAGAAAAGAACATATCAACGTGTCACGGTCGTCGATACCAAAAATTTGATATTCATTCTCCTCTTTAAAAGTTTCTACTGAAACAAAAAAAAAAAGAAAAAAGAAAAAAGAAAAAAGACAGAAAAGTTAATAACACCTATATCCCTTTCCTTTCTTTGTTCGCCCTTAATTTTTCGAAAAACGTACCATTCACCTAGATAGTACAATAAAGAGTAGAAATTCCTCGCGAATGTGCAAAGAGGCGGGGATTTTTAATCACGAATTCACGCGCATCCTGATTAACCGAAGTAGTCAAATTGCAAAACGTAATAGATGTAGTTAAACGAATTGAAAAACCGACCGTGCGGTAGTTACCACTTTCCAAATACGTATTTTCATCATGATTGATTAAAGTTAATGATTGGTTCGAAATTGGTAATATATCCTGGTCACGATAAATCGCACATAAAAATGTTAAGAAACGCAGAAAGCTTTGAAATAACAATAATTAACGATATAGTTTGCAACTTTGGCAAGATTGAAAATAAAAGGAAAATCTGAAAAAAAAAAAAAGATATGTATATATAAGTATTAACGCGTCTTTCTCGTATCGTACATTATCATTCATTTTCAACTTAATGTAATATCTCATCAAAAATAAACGATTTTTTTTAAGAAGGAAAAAAATAATTTTTCAAGAATATAGTAGTGATGATCTCGTTAAATTCAACGATTTACAATTTCGTTTATTGCAAGTAAAAATTTTGAAGTTTAGGATAAAAAAAAAAAAGGAATGGATTACATACTATTTAAGCATGCGACTGAAATTACCGCAATATTGTGTAACATGGTAGAAGATGATAGTCAACGATTGTATAAAGAAAATATGACATTTATGAGCAATGTTATATAAGTATGTGTATATATATATATATATATATAAAAGTACATACATATACATATATGCGTATACTTGTAATAATTGATAAAACCAGGGTAAACATTATTATTATCTATGTGTAATATTTAAAGAGCGCCTGGCGTGCGACTCGTGCACAGTTGCTCTGTATGTTTCTGTAATAGTTATGCGTGTTTGCATTTTCGAAATAGAAGAAGAAAATGTATATTATATAATAATTATATTAACAATAATAACGATAGACATGCCCGGCGACACACCTAATTGTAAATAACGGTAATAAGAACTAATTGCAAACCCTTCTCTCAATTCGTTTAACACGCTCTCCTTGTCCGTGTAAACGCGTTGAGAATCTTAATACTTAATAATTTAAAAAAAAAAGAAAGAAAGAAAAGGAGAGATGAGAAACAAAAATATCGTTTCGTGTAACATTGCAGAAAAGATTGGGAGAAGAAAAAAAATAAGTAACTAAGTAGACTGTCGTAGATTTATTACTCGTTATTATTGCTCCTGCCTATTCGCAAACTTTGACTGTAATTATCTTGTAAACACGTTGGACCAAGTCGTTGTGAGCACTAGCCGTAAATTGTAGAATATCGTTCCGGCGGTTTCGTGATCGTCGAAACGCTTTACTGAGTTTAAACGCTCGAACAGAAATTCTGGTAGCTTGTATCAAGGATACCAATGTCCAAGCGAAAATACCGATCTAATAAAAAATGTTTATTGTTTTACAGTATTAAAAAACGTCATTGTATGCACAATATATTCCATAACTTTTGCGCCCATCTCACCATAATCCAATATTATATTTCCTTAAACATATCGTTTATACAGCTATACAAAAGTATGCATTGATTTAAATATTTGACAAACGAAAAAATTTAATATTTAAGATCAGTTGATTAAAAAATATTATTGATTTTATTATGACAGTATTTGTGCTTAAATATTTGAATAATTCGTATTGATTAATTTTTATTCGCATCAGTGGCCATCGAATCATAATTTGATTGATTTTAATTCTTAATAATCAAACTAAAAAATCTAAAAAATATTGTATGAATGTGGACGAAAATACAGGCTACGAGAGATGCTACTTACTACTTATTTTAAAGGAATCGAGTTTTGATCAAACTTTTTTGTATTTTGTACACGCGACGCTCACATCGACAAGGCTTGCAAAACGAAAGACTTGGTAGAACTCAAAATATTTGCTAAATTTTACTATCGTGTTATCTCTTGCGAATTGCTTGGACTTTTACAAGATTATCGTGTTGGTACTTTTTGAAAAAGTTAAAAAAAAAAGGAAAAAAGAGAAAGAAATACTTTTAACTTCTAATTAGATCCAAACGCGAAATCGTTTGTAGATAAAATGAACATTCTTGTATATTAGTAAAAATAGCTTTTCACGGCACTCGTTTCTTTTCGGTAATAGCGCCAACGAAGATCACGTAAACCGTTTTCGTATGGTATAAAAAAAAAAATTAAATCTAGTAAAACCACGATAAACAATTGGAAAGTTATTTATCAATATATCAATGTTGCATCGTTTGTGTAATAAAGTTAAACGGCAAATTACTACTGTCATGATATAATATTGATAGACCGATGATAATAATGTGACGATACTATTACAAAGTGAATGTTGCCTTTTATCACATTGATTAATCATAATAAAGAAAATCTTAATGAATTACGTACGATTATATTAACGACGACTAATAATTATAAATACTATCTATTGTATTACGAGTACTAACAATTATTATGTACAATATGGAGGTTCGTATGATTGTAAATGATATGTGTTGCGTTGATATGTAACGCGTCCCTATATTAAAATAGGGGCTGTGAAAATAAATCAACCAGACATTTTGTTGGCCTTCTATATTGCCCTGACACACAGGAATATTATATATATATATATACAATATAATATATATATATATATATTGTATATATATATATTTATATAATATACATATAAATATATATATATATATATTTGATATAAATTGACTGAAATGTTTTTAATAAACACTAGTGCCTCAAATGTGATAAATTTTAGTTATTTTCATTATTTTTTGCTCACAGGTATAGTATAAATACTACATCTACATGCACAAAGACGGAATTAACTTTCAACGAATATGTGCGATTTTATCATTCCATTTTTTATCAGTCGGTATTTATTGGAATAAATGTGCTTGCCAATATTATCAGCAACTTATTATAAAATATAGATGCTTTCAAATCCACCATTGTTGACATATAACAAATTGAAATATTATTAGCCAGAATGATTATTTGCACCTTGATTTCCTATAATTTCTGTTTGTATTTGTGTTGTATGTTCCACAATTGAAGTCTTTGATGGTATATGAAAAAAGTATCGCATAAATCCTATTGCCAATAGAAGGTGCATACCAAGGATTATTATAATATACATTATCCTATACCTGCCTGAAAATTAATATATTCTATCAATTTGTTCTTATTGTTTTAGGAATATATTTATAATGTAATACCTGTTATTAAAGGCAACAAAGACCTTAGTAACACCCCTCCAGATAAAAAAGTTGCTACTACAACTAAACTCCATTGCAGCCATTCAATTTGAATTGTCCAAAAAAAAGCTACAGGAATATAAATAGCCAAAGAATAACCATAAAGGCATATAAGTTCTAGAAGACCAGGGGTTGCATAAGACTAAAATGAAAGAATAAAATTTCTTTGAAAATTATTATATATTTTAAAAAAATAAATAGACAATATCAAACCTCAATTAATTCCTCTTCTGTATCTCTTGTGCTTGTAGTCCATTTTAGAGCTCCCCACAAAGTAAGTGGTAATAACCATGCATATAAAAATATACAAGTTGCAGCATAAGATACAATATGAAATTCATACCTCCAATGATATTTAGTTGAATTAGCTGTTTGTAAATAATCAGCCAGATTTCCACTAATGGCAATAGAAAATATTAGTGTAACACAAATCCAAAAGGGACCATAAAGATCTGGATTTGGTCTAATATGGGATATCAAATAATTTTCACTACCATGTGGAAACATAGATCTTTTAATTCTTTCTATCACATCATTTGTCTTTACATTAAAGAACTTTTGATAATACTCTATTGTCCAAAAATTTGGTGATGAATTGGCTAGAAAAGAAGAAATAATATTTTAAAAAAATGTACAAATATCTACTATTTTGACAGAGTATTTTAAATTATATACATCTATTATGGAAACAATAATAACATTACGAATTAAATTCGTAAAATTATCTAAAATTAAATAAAAAATTATAAAAGCTTAAACCTTCATTTTTATCAGGCATTCCCTGAAGATCTTCAATAATACCAATGCCTGAAGTGTCACTTGAGAGGTTATTAAAACCTTGATGAGTGGTTGTGTTAATATCCAATTGTGCTTGAGTAATATTTCCTTCATGATTTATTGAAGGAAAGTCTTGAAATGAAATAAATTGTGAATCACTTGCTTTTGATTGATTTCCATCCATAGTTATTTATTTTGTGTTGTTTTTTCCTATCCGTTTGACATGGGCGCAGCATACATATTGTAAAAAAGATATATACGTACACGTAACTAATAACCAACCAATCGAAATTAAATATCAATTAATATTTATTGGTATATTCTTTTTACAATCATTTTTTACAAATTAATGAATATAAAAATAAAAAATATATATATATCTATCATACGTATCTCGTAAACTCATATATTTAAAACTGTATGTTGTCTTGCATAGACAATGTATATATAGATAATATATGTACAAAACAAATCTTGTTATATTTTTCAATCCTACATAAATAAAGATGTATAAAATTAACTTTCTATTATTAAGACAATTGTGAATAAATTAATAAAGTGATTAATATACTTGATATATTTATTTCAATATATATTCTTATACTTCGTATTAAATTTTATTTTTAATATAATTAATGCAATCGTATAGTATATAAAAAAGATTGAATAAATTAATTAATAACAATTATAATCATAAATGACTATGTAAAAAATAAATTTTTGTCATTAAATTTTTTTGAATTGTATCGATGCTTTATTATCCATACTGGTGCTGATATATTAGACAGTAGCTGATTAGCTTTATGACAGTTTGAAGGATTTTTATCGAACCGTTTTTTTTAATATCAATTTGACACTGAACAGTATTTTTTTAATAACATTATCAACAATGTATTTTATTGTATAAAATAAGAGAATGTACGAAGGTAAAGAAATATTTCAAAATATGTTCTGTTTTTTAATCATTTGTAACTATTTTAGGATTATTTAAATTTTAATTATTTTATTCTTACAATTAATAAAGGAGAATTTTATTATATATATTTACGAAATACTTAAATAGAAAAAAATAAGTATTCATAAATACATTTAAATATTATTATTTTTAAATAGGTTAGATAGTTCATACTTTTTTATAAGATTGTGCCCTTCTGGAATATTTGGCAGCAATCAAGTATCTGAAAACATGATACAACGAGCTCCTAATCTTCTGAAATTTCTTCAAAATATTAATTATTATAATAAAGAATGTTTATATATGTTTCAAGTGGGATATGCAAAAAGACATACTAGTACTTTGATTACATATAATTATAATATAGGAGGTAAATTGCATAGAATTGCAAATCCTCAAAAGATTTTTAATGCAAAAAAAAGAGAACATTCACAAAAATGGAGATGGATTTTTGTTACAATGTCCAAGCCAATATCTGTTATAGCAAAAGTACAAAAAGAAGATACAGGAAACATAAATAAACAATCAGAAAGTAATGTACAACAAACAATAATAGAATTAAAGGAAGAAAATTTGGGACAATTGAAAGAAAGAAAATTAGATGTTAAACCTGATGAAGCTAAAGAAGGCCAACAAAATTTGAAGACAGAAGGTACAGAAGGAAATATAGTCAAAAAAGTATAGTAAAAACTTTTTTTATTGATTTTTAATTTTTTTTAAAAATCATTATATGTCTTTATTTTTGCCATTATTTATATTCGTATATTTAATAATCATAATATTTATTTACAGCTAAAAAGAAAAAGATGGATAAAAAAGTATCATCTTTAGAACGTAATTTTATTACACCAGTTAGAGCAATGTCTGATTTTTTATTGAAACCATCTGATCTTGAAAATCTACCAAAGACAAAAAGAAGATCACCCTATGAATTTGAACCTCCAATTACTGTCTATTGGAGAAAAGATGTAGAAGCTAAGTAAGATATATATTTTAAATGAAATATAATGAGATAATCATTCTTGTAATAAAAATTATACAGTAATATTTAAGATACTGTAATTACTTTCAGAGCAATAGAAGTTTGGGGATCACGAGAAATTTTAGAAAAAGAACTTCTTAAAAAAGAACTTGAACGGAAAGCATATCAGCAAAGTAAGTATAAAATTCTTTTTTTTTTTTTAATAAATATAATAAAATTCAAATTTTTATACATATATTTCTATGTAAGTTTAACATTAAATCCTTATAAATAGATTAATATGTTATTTGAGTAGTTAAAGCTTTATTTTATTTCAATAATACTTTATCCCTTTTACAGATTTATTTTTATTTATTTTATTATCATTTTTTTCATGCATTAATTGATCTTTTAACTTAATATTTTATTATTTCATAGACATATTTACTGTCAAACGAAGATTAAGAGATTATAGACGAGAAATGGGTAGTAAAACCCAAATTTTTGAACAGGAAGGCCTTCTTGGAAGATCTGGTAAAGTGGTTTTAACCGCTATTGCCATGTAAGTATTATTCTTCATTTGTATTTGAAAATATTTCTTTTCTTCTATTTAGTTTACTAAATTAATTTTTAATACATTTTTTTAGAAACGGTTGTAATTTTTTATTTAAACTGTGTGCTTGGTTATATACTGGTTCGCACAGTATGTTTTCAGAATGTGTACATTCTGCTGCAGATACATGTAATCAGTTAATATTAGCATATGGTATTCATAAATCAGTACAAGTATGTATATTATGTCATATGAAATTATGTATATATATATATATATATATATATATATATTATTTTATATATATATATAATAATTATATTTTATAATTATT